GGGGGGAAGCTCGCCGGGCTCCCGGTTCCCCCGCGCGCTGGCGGCTCCTCCCCGCAGCGCTGCTCTAAGCAGGCTATGTGTGAGCTGGAACTTGCGGGGTGGGGTGGCTGGGAGGGGAAGGGCTTTGCACCAATCCCTGTGATTACTCCGGACGAATGCCGGGCTCAGGTAGGGAACCACCCAGTGGCAACCACCCGGCGGCAGCATTTTTTTCCTCCCCAGGGTCCCTGACAGTTTCCACTTTAGGCGTCCAAGAGGTTGTGTTTGAGTAGCACAGGGAAGGAGGGCAGCAGTACAGAGGGATATTTTGTCTGTTTGAGCGAGTGTGACTACTGGTTTTCATATTTTCAGATTTCCACAGACATAATTAAAAATCGGAACCTGGACAGTTATGGAGACCTACTGAGCAATCTCTACAGCCTGAGAAGTCGAATCCTGCAGTTGTTAGATCGCGTGAGATCTAGGGCTGATGTTCTTTGCATGAGACGATGTTTAAGGAAACGCCCAAGCCAGTGCTGTGTGGCCGGCTATCAGCAGCTGTAACTGTATCTTCTTTATTTTTCGATCAGCATTGATTCGTTTTCCCCTAATTATGGGTTATATTTTTCTGCTTTCTACTATGTCCAGAAATTTTGACTAGAATCTAGAAATTATGAATTGACATTGTTAAATGTCAGCATTGTAAAGGAAGGAAATAATAAGATAATTTGATAGGAAAATAGCACTGCGCTATTTTAAAAGAATTTAAAAAAAATTTTTTTTCTAGAGTGATATTTAGGAACACATTGCTAGTGGACCCAGAACAGTAGAAGGTAGAAGGTAAAAACACAAAGAAAACAAGAAAAAGAAAAGATAGTCTGTTTCTTCTCTTCTATGAAAGGGTGAAATCATAAAGTTTTGAGGGGTGTATTTGGGTGTCATTAAAGCTGATGGAAAAAAACTTGTTGGCCCTAAAGGTTATGGCTGGACTTAGGCTACAGGTTATTCCACTTACGGGATATTTGTCCCACATAACTGTAGCTATTTTAAGATGACCTTGAAACGATATAAAGATTTTTTTTTTTTTTTTTGCCATAGCCTAGAACAGTTCTAGCAGGCTTGTCATGATGAGAAACTTTTTCACTTAGGATAAAAATGACCCTGGGGAGCAAAAACCCTTCAGCCTATAGGTGAATGGATGCACATTGAAGCTATACTCTTAAGTGAAATAAATAGGAACCACTTGAGTAAATACCAAATAGTTTCTCTGGTGTGAAAAACTAAAAGTGTCAATAATTGAGAGGGTGAAATAGGAAGAAAATGGCTAAAGGGGATGTGGGAAGGGGAGAGGAAAGGAAATAAGGGAAAAGAAAAAACGTGAAAAAAGGAAAAAATGGAAACAAAGTCTTTGTAAATAGGGAAGGGTGAAGAGGGTGGAAGGAGGTCAGGGGTGTGGGGAAAAAACAAGAACCAAGACATACCATGTAAAGATACAAGATCCCAATGATAAATGTAACTGTATTGTTTGTTTTAAATGTACCAATAAACTTAAAACAAAAACAAAAACAAAACAAAACCAAACACTTCAGCCTTCCAGCACAGACCCATCAGCCTCCTGATACGGACCCCCACAGGACACTACCATGAGCTACAGAACTTCAGCTGAAAATCCTTCAGTCTCCAGTGTTCAGAGAGACCCTCTGGACTCCTCCTCATCCAATCCTGTGGGTGGTATTGATCCACTGAAGATATTGTGATGACCCAGAGTCCAGTCTTCCTGTCCATCAACCCTGGAGAGTCAGCCTCCATCTCCTGCAGGTCTAGTCAGAACCTGCTACATAACATAGTAAAATGGAAACACCCATTTGTATTGGTTCCTGCAGAAGCCAGGCCAGTCTCCAAGACACTTGATTTATTTTGTTTATTTCTCCAAGACTTTTGGGTCCAGACAGGTTTTGTGGCAGTGGGTCAGTGATTTCACACTGAAAATCAGCAGGGTGGAGGCTGAGGATGTGGGAGTTTATTACTGCATACAAGCTCTACAACGTCCTCCCACAGTGAGACAGCCCCGAACACAAACCTCCCTGCTTGGTGTGGCCCAGCTTCCTTCAGGGGTTGCTCATCTGGGGAAGAGCACAGGAGATTCTCTTGAGTGTTTGTGAGAGAAGCTGATAAGGGAACTCAAAACAAGATCATGAAGCTGAATGTCTGTCCCACAACTGCAGTGACTACACTCAAGCAAATCCCATTAAAGGCCCTGTCAGCTTCCAAAGCCTGGGCATCGCATACCTAGCAGAAAAGAGTTGAGGTCCATTTATCTTCTGAACAAATGGACACCACTGTAGCGAGACCTGAATGAAATCCTAAACTAATTCTCCTGGCATCGCTTGTTTTAGTTAATAATCAGCTTCATGGCCATGTGATTAATACGGAGTTGGACAATACATGTAGAATATGTCTTGAAGTTTATCAATGTTTATGTAATTGTAGGAGGATAATATTTGGTAACATTTAGAAAAGAGCATTTTCCACTTTCCCACTTCTTTGTTCTTTTACTACTTTGTTCCCAATCAGTACAGATGGCACAAATAGCATTCCACAGGATGACCACTGAGATGATATCCAAAAACATTAATTAAAATTTTAGGTTTTGAGTCTGCAAATCGATTTTTGTAAATTTATAGAAAATAGAAAATTCTAATGCAGAAACTCTTTCTTTGCTCAAAGTATCTTTCACTCTTACAGAAAGTAAGTCCTTAACTTTCCAGAAGTTGGGTCTTATAAAAAAATAGTCTTAACTGGAAGACATAGAGTATAGAACTTCCTTTGTAAACAATTAACATATCACCATATGATACAAGACTGTTTTTCTTTCCTAAAAGTTGAGTTTGGGTTTTTTTAAAAATTCTTTTTATTGAGTTTATTGGTACAATCTAGTATACAATACAGTTACATTCATTATTGGGATCCTGTACCTTTACATGATAGGTCTTGATTTTCATTTTTCCCCCTTGTCCCTGCCCTCCCTTCACCCCCTCTTCCCTTCCCCATTTACAAACACTTTATTTCCATTTTTTCAGTTTCTCATATTTTTTTCCTCTCCCTTATTACCTTTCCCCCACCCTTCCCACTTTCCCTACACCTTTAATCCTTTACTTCCTATTTCACATTATTAATTATCTCATTAGGATCTTGTGTACTATTATAGTTTTTCACACCAGAAAAACTATTCGGTATTTCAGTTAAAGAAATCTCTGTATGAACATTAAAAATAGGGAATCCTAACATAAAACTAAAAGGGAAAGTAAAAGAGAAAAGGCAATGATGTAAGATTAAAATAATCCTTAATTCTGAAGATGAAAATGGGCCCTGAACATATTTAAATTGCTTCTTGCTCTTGTGGTCTTATCTTATTCTTTTATGACCACCTCTGCCTGTGCAGAGTGGGTTCAAAGACTGTCACAATCAGGAAGTCTGAGAGTCCCTTCCCCGTCGGGGGAAGGGGAGTTATGGGGGTTCAGGGGTGCCTGTGGCTGCCTTCCTGGCGCTGGAGCGATGGAGGCTCTGGGTGGGAGAGGACGTGGCTATCCTTCCCTTGCTGAATCGGGGCCCAGGCTACCTTCCTGGGTGCTGGGACGATGGCGGCTCCAGGCGGGAGAGTGTGTGGCTCCAAGTTAAGAGTTTTAATGTCTGGCAGTGTAATAGTAAAATATCAAATGTTAACTAAGGTGAAGTAACCTGATTTTTGGCCTGTGTTTGGTTCAGTCCTGCATGACAGTGTTGGATGATGTTGACATGGACCCAGAAGGAAACTCCAGCATTTGTTGTCAAGAATCTCAGAATTGAAAGGGCTACTGCTTGGATTCATTGATGAAAACTTATTTCACTGAGAGTCAAGAGAAATTATGTCAAGGAGGAATACTTTAGGCCTCACATCAAATTTTATCGAATATTTGTTCCAAGACCTGAAGTCAAGTGATTAGACCTGAGTCAAAAACAAAGAAAAGTGATAACTCCAAAAGAGGAGGCCCAGCAGAGAAGACATGGATGATTTGGGGAACAACTGACATGCTGGAGCATGCTGACCTGAAGTCTCAGTAGGGTTTATGTCAGCAAAGGAGCAGTCGAAATGGAGAAGAATACCCATGACTCAGAAATGTATTAGAATCCCTTGTGCAGAAAGAGAAAATACCAAATACCACAAACAACCAAACAAATTAGAGCAACAGCCATCAAGTCCCTGTGTTTGGACTATATACAATAT